CACGTTCACATGTTTACTTATTTTTGGTTATATGGTTTTTTGGGTGTACCTGTAATTTTTGGGACAATTTTTTGTGTGAGTGGTAATGCGGGGAGAGGAACACCTAGGGGTGTGTTATATGAAATTTTTGGATTTCTTAGACGGGGATCCTCCCCTCTCCCCTTCTTTGTACTCTTTTTTGATATTAACGCGTAGGGAGCCACCGTTGCTCTTGCCAATATATATATATATATATATATATATAAAGGAATTCATGTTGCACTCATCACGAAGCGAATCCAACACTTTTCATCTCTTTCTGATCAAAAGCTGCATGAGGATATCCTGGGCCAACTTCTTTCTTCACATTTTATTAGTATCTTAAAGGTATTTGGGGCATTTATATTCATACCGTCGAATTCCTATGTATTTATATATCTATACTTATTTTTTTATCTTTATACCCCCAAATCCTTCTCATCACATCAAAAATACCACTATTTTAACTTAAAAAAAATGAAATACACCTTTTATGCATGGTTAAGGTGGTGTGTACCTAAAAAATTGAAGTTTAGGTGTTAGATGTGTAAATACATGGGAGTTAAGTGGTACGTTTGTAAATCTTCCAAGTTTTTTATGTTGCTACTGGGCCAACTTGAAGTGATGGGAGAAGAACTTATTAAAATATGAGAGAAATGAAAGTGGTAAGATAGGTCTATGATAAAACTATAAAAATTGGGAGGAAAATGAATGTATAGGAGAAAAAAAAAGTGGATGTAATATGATAGTTTAAAATAAGTTTAGATATTTTGGTTATATGCCGGTTATATGCCCTCAGAAGTTCAAGTAATTTGTATAATTAGGTTTAATAAGTTCAAGTTAATAGGAAGGAATTGATTTTACTAATGCAACATGTTTTGAAGTTAGCAAAAATAGATCGATAAATTAGAGTTAAAACATCGTGTAAGATTTAACAAGATAATTTTACAAGGAATTGTAAGCTTGTCTTTTAATCCTCCCATGACACATAATTATTTTCATGTTTTTATTTTTTAGTTTGTTTTGTTTTAAAATTTGTATTCAAGGAATATTTGGATGAGTTGTTTTAGTTTTATTAGAATTTATTTTTTCTTATTTATTATCATTTGTTTATTTGTTATTGTAGAATTTTTTTGATAAATAAAATTGTCATGACCCGACACAACCCAACTTAATATAACCTATATGCTAATAAATTATACCAAGTTGAGTACACAACTGATATTTAGCCCAAGATTTATTCGAAAGGAATTTCTTTTATCTTCTAATTTTCGTTACACAGAGCCATCAAGTCTTCAATAGTATAAAATAAAATTAAAGATCATCATCATTGCATATTTATCTATATACTTCAGAATTGTTTACATAAAAAAAGTATTTATATATCATGATCATGATTTTGTAATAATTTCAACAAAACATATAGATCTATCATGATCACAAAATACATATATAAAATATACCTCTATCAACAAGTACTATAAGCTCACTCCACGAAGTCTTATCATTTCCTAAAAACATATAATTGCATAAAGAGTGAGGGAACAACTCAGTATGTTGCATGAAACCTACAACTGAAATTAATGCACGAAAATAAAAAATTTGCATGATTGCATCACAATCATGTCACGTATGCTAATCAATTAAGTTTGTATGTCAATAAATTTGTATTTGTATGTTGTGAGACATGTAACCACGATATGGTATTAAATTACAATAGTAATAATGCATATAATTCATATAATCAAATACAATTATCACTATACATACAACCCAAGTTAGATGATTTGGTTAATCATAATGATGTTTTTTGGTACCAATTATAGTAAAATATGTATAATATCATATCATATAATATCAATAAAAACTTTCAAATTAGTCAGTC